GAGCAAAAAATGGCAAAATGTTAATGTTGCTGAATCTAGGTGGAGGGTATATGGATGTTCATTATATCATTCTTTCATATAAATTTGAAGTTTTCCAAAATAAAAGTTTGAGTGGAAAATTTCACCAGGAAATTTATTTTTGTGTGTGTGTGTGTGTGTGTGTGTGTGAGAGAGAGAGAGAGAGAGTGTGAGTGTGTGTGTGTGTGTGTGTGTGTAGGTGTACACGTATATAAATTTATATTAGTTGGCTAGGGCTGCTATAACAAAATACCACAAGCTGTCTGGCTTAAACAGAAATGTATTTCTCTTGGTTCTGGAGGCTAGAAGATATAATACAAAATGAAATTGTCCTGCTTAGTGATACTTACCCTAGAGCTTTCTATTAGAAATGAAAAAATACTCAAGATTGCAGGTAAATATGTGGTATTTATTTATGCTACTGCCTCTGGTAATCTCTTATTTGTGTTACTATCTGTAGCCAAACTCTGCAAAGAGAGATACAAGTCAGTCATTGGCAACTACCAAAAATAATTGTTTTAGTCAAAAATCATCAACAGAAGCTAAAATTAGTGGGTGAAAATTTGATGAGCCATGGCACAGCAGAAAAATTTAGGGAAAAAATTACCATGTTGCTTCATTATTAGTTAGCATCCCAAAACTTCAGACAACAATCAAATTATATGTACCTATATAAAACAAACCACATTATCATTGCATCTGTGAAATGAGGCTATTATCACCGAACACTAATAGGTATGTAGAAGAATTCAGTGAAATAAAGTGTTCTAAGCTATTATAATAATATAATGCCTGGTAGACTAAGTACTTAATAAATAGTGGGTATCACTAGTAGTATATTCCAATTCCAAATGAGCTGTGATTCTGCTTTAAGTTGGTGTTGCTGTTGTCTTATACCTCAGGAGAAAATCACCTTAATCCTGAAAGCAATGAACTTCATTCTTACATACACATAAAAGACCGATCATTACAATTCTACACTGTTGAATTATTGTGAACAAATACAACACAGAAAAATCATCACATTCTTGAGGTAACAAATCACCAAAGGAATACCAAAGAAATTTTGAAATGAAATTGAAAGTTTTAACTTACTGATTGACTAAATCAGATCCCATCTTAGAGCCATCTTCTGCCTCCTCTTCCATATCAGAGTCCATACCATTGTCACCTTAGAAATGAAAAAAACTATTGAAAAGCATGCTTATAAAATGTCAGAATGATTTAATTTTAGTCATTATGCAAAAAGTGTCATCTTTAAAAGTGATACAGATTAAAGAACTTTATAGTTCATAGGGAACTAAAAGCAATGAGAATATAAAGCAGAAAATAAAAATTATTTTAAGATAAGTCTTTGCATCTCCAAAATTAATTTTACAGCATTTTTTATTTCATTTTATTATTGTGTACAAACTTATGCTCTTACCTATTCTCTTGGGATGGAAAAACCACACGTACATCAAAAAGTCTATTCCTGAAATGCTATTCTGATACGTAAACTATATTTCTCTGTACAAAGAGAAGTAAAAATACTTTTCAATGATTACTCAATAATGAAATAAAGTAATATTCAAGTAAGAAAAATACCTCAGGTTTATTCTGAATATAGCATTAACTAAAACGTTAACAGAATGTAGAAATATGTATTCTTACCCTCAAGAATCTTCATGATATTTTTTTCAGACAGGAGCTCTAACTGTTCTTGGCACAGTTTTTTAATTTCTTCTATTGAACAGTTCTAAAGAAAATGATATTTAAAAAATGCATCTATGTAATGTAGCGCCAATATAGGTAAACTAGATAACAGCAATCATAAAAACAATTCCAGTTAGCAAAATCTTACAAATTAAAAGTCACATAAATCTTTTCATGGGATGAAATCTGAAAAATTGCCAGTTAACATGTGAACAAAATAATTTATAAGATTTGAGGAGAATCTACAGTTATGTTTACTATGAAAGAACAAACTAAAGAGTACATCAGGAGCCCAGATATTAATAGCAGCCTACGAGTATTTATGTTAGGTACTTCCTCTAAAGTTTTAAATATCAGCTCCATACATCTTAGATCTCTGATTTTGGGCTTAATTTGTCAAAGTCCTATTTCCACAGCTCTAAAATTAGAATATCATGTATTCCCCTGAATAATTTTCAGAAATAAACATATGAAAACATTTATAAATTTAATGAAATACAAGCTACTACCAAACATCCTTGTACATTGTTATACAGCAGTATATTCTTTCTTAAAGCACCAGAAAGAATTATTATACCTTTAATTTAATTACTAGCACTGCCTAAAGTTCATAAAATTATTTCCAAAATGTCAAAAAATTTCTTACCTAAGCACAGTAAATTGTCCCAATTTTTTCTTGGCAAATTTTTACATACACAAGGCCAGTTATGGTTCTACAAAATCCTTTATATGTTTTCTGGTAGCTTGTTTTAGTTGAAAACATCCAATTATAATTTATATTAAGTGGACTGATTGCTACAAAAAAGGTTTTTGTATATTTCTATGTATGTGTATAGTCTGATAATGTACATAATGAAGTACCTTTAACACATCAGGAAGCATCTTCTGTAACTTCTTCTCTCCGATGATACAGAAACACTGCTGCAGCATTTCCTTTTTGTCTGATATATAGTAACTAACCGGTTTTAATGACACAGTCAGGTCCAGTCCACCTTCTTCAAGGTCACTGTGCTCTGCCAAAAATAATTCTTTTTCCAAAGTTGGTAAAAGATACTTGGTTTCCTAAAAGAGAAAAAGAACTATTAAATAATTCTACTTGAAGTGCATTCAATACGTACATAATGTCATTACATTTTCATTTAATAAATTCTTCTTCATTAAATATTTCTATGTTCTTGGTTTGCATAGATTATTTACCTAAAACCATGGGAAAGAATTCTAATACTAATTCTTCAGTATTCTTTGAACTTACTTTCCACACTGCAATTAACTCAAACAGCTAAAATAAAGTGAAGAGATAATATCTTAGGGCACACAAATGAAAATATACTCAATATTGAATGACTTTGGGCCTGCTTGGGACGCCAGCTCTGAGCATCAGGGCCCCAGTTCGGATCTCGCATGTGGGCCAGTGACACTGCCCTTTACAGCTAAGATGGTGAACAACAGCTCGACCTGGAGCTGGGCTGCCACGAATAGCCGGCAACAGCGTAGGCTGCAGCCACTGCTGCAGTGGGCTGCCATAAGCCACCGTGAGTGGCTGGCAGCTGGCGTGAGCAGCAGGCAGCCAGTATGAGCTGCCAAGAGCCGCCATGAGTGGCTGTCCAGAGGCTGGTGACCGATCTGCCTCACCCGGGAAGAGCGCAATGATAATACCAACATGGGCCAGTGAAGCAACGTTCTCCACAACTAGACTGAAGAGCAAAAGGACAGCAACTTGTCTGTTCCCCTTCCCCTGAATCCCCAGCGCTATTCCCCTCCCCCAATTCCCCAATAAAATCTTTGGGGGGAAAAAATATTGAATGACTTCTTACAATTTTAGACTTCTAAAGAATTAGACTACTCCTTGGCCATTCACCCAAAAATTGTATGTATGCACGGTCATTATTCTTAAATTTCATATAAAGAAATGGAATAGCAAAAATATTACAAATCACAACTATTATATAGTAAAGTATTATTGCTTACCGGGAGCTATTATTGCTTTTAAAAACTGTTATATAATTTAATCGTATTTAAAGTAGCCAAATAATTTAAGACGTTTATGTCAATTTTACCACCCATCTCCCAAATCTATGCAGTCTCTCCAAGTTTACTGTCATAATCCTGGTTCAAAGTACCCTAACCTTTTGCCTAGATTACCTCAATTGCCACTTAACAGGACTTGCTGCATCTAATCTGAGGTCTCTCAAATGTGTTTTGTTACCAAATGGATTTTATAAAATGTACACATAACCTTTTTTATAACTTTTCTAGTACTTCCCCATTTATAACCTTTCAGTGACTTTCCACTGCTTTTAGGGTAGCATGGCCAATTGGGCACTTCATGCTCATTCTTTGTGTTTCAAACATAATGACCTTCTTTAAATTACTCAAATATAACCTGTTCTGCCTTCACCTCACACAGGCAGGGCTTTTGTGCATATTGTTCTTCTGCCTAGGACATTCTTTCCTCCCCATTCCCCTACCACATACACTATACTCCCAAGATTAACAAAGTCAGGTATCAATTCAAAAGTTCCTCCCAACTATATACCTCAGATAAATTTGTTATGTTTTCTAATGGAATTGTCTAAAAAGCAGTTTCTAAAAAAGCCAATTTTAAAAGATGCTATAATTAGACTGAAAAAAGTAAAGAAGGTCAGCTCTTGTTCTAACAGCTCACAAAATAATTCAAATGTTTGTGAGAATGTAGAGTAACTCTCATACACTGCTAGTAGGAATATAACATGGTGCAGCCACTTTGGAAAACAGTTCGGCACTTCCTCATACAGTTACTGTATGCCCCAGCAATTCCACTCTTAGATATACAAGATATGATAAAAAAAAATATGGTAAATGCTGCTTCCAAGTGCCATCCAACAGAAAGACAGGGATCTTCTATATGGGAAGTGGTGCATCGAACCTTAGTAATAGTTTGTGACAAGTTTCAACTTGTTTTGTGCAGTCAGTTGGGTGTGAGCTACGGTTGAAAGAAGATGTGTTTTAAAGTGTGCCATAAATCATCCTCCACCATGACAAAATGCTCCATGTCACACATCGTTTATTGTATATGGCAATTTCTGTCAAATAAAAACATTACGGTGTGTCCTCATCCACCTCATTCACCAGATCTGGCACCGTGCGACTTCTGGCTCTTCCCCAAAGTCAAAATGATTCAGGACATTGAAGCAGTCACGACAAAGCAACTAAAGACACTCATGAAGGAGGACTTCCAGAATTGCTTCAGAAAGTGGCAAGAACGATGGGATAAGTGTGTTCCAAGTAAGGGGAGTATTTTGAGGGGAATTAATGGCAATGTGTCTTTTACTGTAATAAATTTTTTATAAACATTCACTGCATTTTTTATCACATCTCTTGTATCTAAGAGAAATGTAATCATATGTCTGCACAAAAACTTGTACACAAATGTTCATAGCAGCATTATTCTTAATAGCCAAAGGTGAAAGCAATCCAAATGTCCACCAAGTGACAAACTGAAAAACCAAATGTGGTATTATTGAGCCATAAAAAGGAATGAATTTCTGATCTGTGTTACAACATGGATGACCTTTGAGAAAACATGCTAAGTGAAATAAGTCAGTCACAAAAGACCACATACTATATGATTCTATTTGTATAAAATGTCCAGAAAAGGGAAATCAATAAATCTATAGAGATAGGAAGTACATTACTAGTCGCCTACGGAGGGAACGGGGTGGAAATGTGTATTAGGGATGACAGCTAAAAGGTACACATTGGGTTTTCTTTTGGGGGATGGGAGGGTGACAAAACTATTTTTGAAATTGACTGTAGTGATGGTTGCACAACTCTGTGAATATACTCAAAACAACTGAGCTGTATACTTGAAATGGGTGAACTGTATGGTATATAAATAATATCTCTATAAAGCTGTTATCAATAAGTAAGTAAATAATAGGGAACTCAATACACATATAAATATAATGACACTTTCAGATTTCTGAGATGTTATCTATTAATATATGCCTAACATGCAATTTCTTTTTTTCCTTCAGAAATACACTTCTCATTAGAAATAGGGTTTAGTTATGGATGCAAATGTTTACAACTTAGCTATTGGTCTCAGCATTATGGTCTCAACATTTAAGATATGGAAACTACTTCAGATAAGAATGATGATATACAAAATTAAATCTAGAAGGGGTGGGAAAACTGAATAGATCTATAACTATCAAAGAATTTGAAAGAAAGAGTTATGGGGGGGGAGAGCCTACCCCTAAAAAAACCTACCAAATGCAGATAGCTGTATGCTGTATGGTTCAATGGTCAAGTTTTGACAAATCTTGGGAAAAAAACATAAACTTTTCTGGAAGACACCAAAAAAAAAAAAAAAAGCAAAGATTCCCAGTTCAATCCAAGAGGCTAGCTGAATCTCGCTAGGAAAACCAGAGAAGATAACTACAAAATTAAAAACCATAAGCTGATTTAACTTAGGAACATAGACACAAAAAATACTGAATTCCAGCCAAATACAACAACCAAACCAACGAACCAACTAGGATCTATCTCAAAACTGCAAGGACAGTTCAATATCTGTTAATTTTTTCAACAAAATTACATTATTTGACTACAAGAGGAAAACTATGTGATCAGGGCCAGCCGAGTGGCTCAGTTGCTTAAGAGCTCGCTTGGGAGCAACAGCTCTGAGCAGCAAGGCCGCGGTTCGGATTCCACATTAAGGGCCAGTGACGCTGCGCCCTCTACAGCTAAGATGATGAACAACAGCTCGACCTGGAGCTGGGCTGCCCTGAGTTGCCAGTGACGGCATAAGCTGCAGCGGGGCTGCAGTGGGCTGCCATGAGCTACATGAGTGGCTGGCAACCAGCGGCTGGAAGCCGGTGAGAGCTGCTGTGAGCGGCCGACCAAGGACCAGCTACCGATTGCCTCACCCGGGAAGAGCACAATGATAATACCAACATGGGTCAGTGAAGCGACGTCCTCCACAACTAGACTGAAGAACGAAACAGTAATTTGTCTACCTGTCTGTTCCCCCTCCTCGATTCCCCAACGCTGTTCCCCTCCCCCAATTCCCCAATAAAATCTTTAAAAAAACAAAACAAAACTATTGATCATCCCAACAGGAGGCTATAAAATCGTCTGATATAACTCTATGACCCTCATCAAAGTAGGAATTTAAGAAATTTCCTTAACCTGATCAAAGGTATCTTTCAGAATCGGTGGTAAGTATATTACCGGTAGAACCTTCAAAATGTTCCCACTAAAAAAGGGATTAGCAAAGAATGTCTACTATCATTGCTTTTGTTGAACACTACACAACAAGTATCAAAGAATGCCTATTATCGTTGCTTTTGTTGAACACTACACAGAAAGTATCAGCTACACCAAAAGAACAGAAAATGAGAAAAACAGCGCTTAAAAAGGAGGTGACAAAACTCTCACTGTTAGCAGAAATTTTTTTGAGAATCAATTTTAAATTAATAACTAATAGCATGGCTAGAAACAAGAAAATGCATAAAAATAAAAGGCCTTCTAGGCTTCCACAACTCCCAATTTAAAGATGTAATGTTAACAAATATTAGAAGAAAATGCAGAAGTTTCAAAATCTTTGATTAGGAAAGACCTTTCTAAACAACATACAATCCAAAAGGCATCAGAAAATAATATTAGTCTTCACCACAAAGAAATCAAAAGCTTCAGTACACCGTGGCCAGTTATAGAAACATTTACAATATACAGTACTTTACAGAAAACATTAGAACCAAGACTTTATGTAGAGAGATGCATAACTTATCAGTAAAATGTTGAAAACAATGAAACTAAAAAATAGTTTAGGTATATCCAATTTACATAAGAAATAAAATGACAAAAATATCAAAATGTTCAATCTCACGATTCATCAGGAAATACAAATAAAACAAATGCAACATTAATTACACCCATTAAACTAACAAAATTTAAAAACTGGACATAGTGAAAATTTTCAGAGGGGTATTCTTATACACTGTATGGATTATAAATCAGTAAAGCCTTCAAAGTATATTGAAAGCATTTGGTTGTACCTACCAAAATTTTTTAAACGAATAAACTGACCCAGCAATTTCACTTCTGAGTCTCCAACCTAAAGTAACTGTTGCACAAAACGTATGTACAATGGTGTCCATTTTCGTATCACCTCTTTAATAGCAAGATAACTGAAAATCTAAATATTCATCAAAAAGATACAATAACATGTCATGCAGTCACTAAAAAATAAGGTACTGCATATATAAACACCCCCTCACCACCACCACTCCCCCGCCCCATCCCAATAATGCAGCGGTACTATCTGATTCAGTGGGGTCAATATCACAACAAAGCCTATGTGGAGAAACTTGTGTACACACACCCGACAAGAATTAATGAAGAGACTGTGTATCAAACTATTAATCCGGAGGGAGGCTTAAAGAGAGACTTGCACGCTTTTCCCTTTATTTCTGTGTTGTATAATTTTAAGTGTGCATTTATGCACTTATTTTATAATGTATTCCAAGCAAATGATTTTTTTAAACGGCGGTATCTTGGCAGGGCGATGGATCATAAAGAACATGTCTTTTCTATAGTCAGATACTGGATACAAATCCAGGAGTGAATAACAAACTGTGGATAAACCTCCTTAACCTCTGTGAGCCTCAGTTTTCTCTTGTAATGTGGTGTTAATTATAACCTATTAAAAGGTTAAAAAGATGGGAGAAGTGCAGCTTGGCTTGCAAGGGCATTTCAGGGAGACTAAAGAAACCACAAGAGTGCAAGGGGCCAAAAATAAAACGAGTTAGCTATCAGCAAATCGAGGAACTTGAAGTTCAAGACACGGGAGTGGGGGTTCACCGGGACTAAGGAACATGAACCTCCAGCACGGGTGGGACCGTGGGATCGCGGCGCTAACACTGAGCTAGAGCCGGCGCCCCATCCCACTACTCGTCGCCCGCCTTCTCCCGAAAATGCAGCTATCCCAGAGCAGCGAGGAAGCACACACACACCTGTTGCAGGGAGCCGGAGACGCAGGAAGATGTGTCGGTGCTTCTCCGCTTCCGGCGCTCGCTGCGCTCCACGCCGCTCCCAACGCCCGTGATGCTCCCGGTGAAGCCGGTGTTCCCACAGCAGGTTACGCTCCCGCAGCCACTGGTGCTCCCGCAGCCGCTGGTGCTTCCACTGCCATTGCTGGCGACGGCAGGTGTCAGGTCCGGCGCCGGAAGCGCCGCGGCCGCCTCCTGACTGCTCCGTTTGCGCCTCTTCTCCCGGGAAGACTTCTTCCCCGTCATGATCCTTTTGCAGTGACCATTTGGAGAAAGCCCACCGTCTCAGAAGCGACCGACTGCACGCTCTGGTGGGCGCGGCGGTAGCTGGCGCCGCAGGTGTGCGTCACTTCCGGACTCGTCGCAGACGCCGCGAGGCGCCTTTGTAGGCGATGCGGGGACCAATAACGCCGCCACTGCTAGCCAGGGAGGTCGGTTTGAATTTCCCGAGGGGCTGACCTGTTTTGTCTAATTAGAGTTTTATTCTTTTTTTACCTCTACTGAGGCCGGCAGATGGAGCTTTACAACAGCCCTTTGCCTTATTGATACTGCTTTTCTGTCTTTGTCAATATACAAATGCACAGATAAAGGTGTACTTTTTGATTCTCCAATTTCATTTCTCTTTCAATTTTTATTTATAACACTAATAGCATTATAACAATAAAGAGAATTTAGGGAAACCTTCATGATCATCACCTGGGCAAATTTTTTAAAAATTTATTTTAGGGAATTGTACAGTATAGGGTCTTGTGCTTCCTTGTTTTTCCCCATTTACACTGATTTCTAGGCATGATTCCTTTTCACTTTTAAAGGCACTCAGCTCTAATATTTCATTGTATTTATGAATTTAAGTAATATTCAAATACTGGTGTTTAGGTTGTTGACATTCTTTCACGTTTCATTATAATCAGCTATAAACAGCTTAAGAAAAAAACTGTTATTTCCCCTATGGTATTTTGTACTCCAAACAGAAATTGATCAAAGGATATCAACATCTTATTTTTCTTGTTCTATTTAATCAATTCCTTGGAAGAAGGGCTGCACCATCTTAAAATGTCACCCATACACTGAAATCTTTTAAAAACTTTGTTCTTAAAAAATGTATGATACTATTAGATTTTTAATTTGCATTTTTTATTTACAATGTTGAATACTTACCGCTGGTTGGAACACTATTTCCTCATCAAATCATCTGGTAATAAGTTTAACAATTTACTGAAATCAGTGTGTTGACTTTATACATTTACATTGTGTTGGTGAGATGGGAGAGGGCAGTGGGGGTAAAATATTGTTAGCATATCAGTGTTCCTCCCTTTTTTACCTTTTGAATGTTCTTTGAACACAGCAGTCACTTATTGTTAAAGAATATGGTAGCCATGTGTTATCTATGAAGGGAATGCTTGATAAGCACTTATTATGTGGCACACATTTTGCTAGGCTTTTATATAAATATCTTATTTCATTCTTCTATTTCGTTGAAGTCCCAATGTACATATGATTAAACGGGCTGAGGTTAAGCAACTTATCTTAATTCATTTGCAAGTGGTAAAATGTCATTGAAACATATGCCTTTTAACTCCAAAGCCAGTAGTACTCTTTCGCCATATTATTATACTGCACCTTTGGTTGCTTTTACTACTGAAAATTTTAAATGATATAGAAATAAGCAAACATTTCTTGAATTTATTAGTTCCTTTGAGGACACAAGACTAAAAGAAATATGGTTTGAAGGCTTGTTTGAAGCCACCTTCTGCTCTGTGTATCAAGCTTACATGCCTCTATCAGAACCGTAGTTCAAATGAAGTGGCTACCAGAAATTGATATTTTTCTCCATATCAATATTCCAGTTTTGCCAACATCATTTATCAAATACCATTCTCTTCTCCATTGTTTTGTTAATACTGACTTGTTATATAAAGATTTACCTGACTTATTTTAGTTTCTTCACCTGTAAAAGTAAGATTACTAACAGTACTTACTCCATAGGGATAATGACGATAAACTTAGAATATGAAGTAATTGCTTAATGCATGATATCTTATTAACCTTGTGTTCTTTACAATGTTACCTAACTGGTTTGCTTTAAATCCAATTGCAAAACATTGTATAAACATTGCTATATCATTTTGATGAAAATATCATTGCCATTTGGACATTTTACTTTCCTGATTTATTACAATGTGTTCAGGAACCCCAAGCTCGTTTTAAGCCCCCGGACCTCATTTTAGGCTTAGGACCGACATCAGCCTACCAAACCTGTAGAAGGGTGTTAGCTTTCTCCTCTTTAAAGATTCCATTGCTCACTGTATTCGGAAGACATTTTCCTCCATGACAGGCACCAAAGTGGTTTATTTGTTACCCTCAAAGTCAAGATCCTGCCTTTCTTAGTACCCCCAGAAAACAAGCATCCTAATTTTAAACATTAAAACTTGATAATCCCTTTGGGAAGCAGACAGATAGGAAATAAAATATGAATGAAAAAAACTTTAACAATATTACCCATCTCTATTAAGATTGTAACTAGAGGCCAATTACACCCTATTTTTGTTCTAACCGCCTGTAGTTAGGGGAAGGGAAATGTGTTTCAGGAAGCTCAGGTATGATGCAATCAGGTAAAAAAAATAAAAAACAAAAAAACACACACATCACCTATGATATATTCTTGCTATTATATATTAATCTCAATCTCACCAAGCCTCTGAGTTTAGCTTTCAGTTCATAGGAAATAGAAGGTGTGGCAGGCATATTCTAAGGTCCCCAGTGATCCCTTTCCTTGGTATTCACAGCCTTGTGCAATCCACTGATTGAGTAACTTGCTTCCAACCAACAGAATACCTTGATATTTAGAGGATAGCATATCTGCAATTATATTCTGAATTTAGTCCTGCCAGCAGACTCTTCCTTGCTGGCTTTGATGGAGCAGTCTGCTATGACAGAGAGGCCCATAAGAAAATAAAACAAGGGCAACCTCTGAAGTCCTCATCCAACAACCTGAAAAGAATTGAACACTTAACCATGTAAGGGAGCTTGGAAATGCATCCTTCCTCCGTCAAGCCTTCAGATGAGAGCCCAGCTGTGGCTGACACCATGATTGCAGCTTCATGTGAAACAAAGAATCAGAGGACCTAGTTAAAGCTGTGCCAGGATTCCTCACTTACAGAAAAGTTGAGAAAATATGTTCTTTTAAGCCACTTAACTTTTGGGGTAATGTACTAAGCAGCAATAGATTACTAATACAGAAGGGCTATAGGAATATATTGGGTTGTCAGAAAAGTCATGATGTATTTTGTCTATGCTTTTCAAAGGTCACTCTTTTATATAAAGAACAATGATCAATGATATATTGCCCGTTTTGTTTGATAACCTCTTGCCATCTTTAAGTGAGCTTCATAATTCCTTGTTCATAGAAGGACCTGTCTTCATTTGTGAACAACTGAACAAGGTGCTGATTTACAGCCTCATCTGAATCAAACGTTATACCACACAAGGAGTTCTGAAGAGCATGAAACAAATGGAAGTCTGAAGGCACAAGGTCAGGCGAGTATGGTAGCTGTGGCAACACATTCCATCCAAACTCCAATCATTTTTGACAGGTGATCAAACTTATGTGTGGTTTACGTTGTTTTGATGGAACACAACTCCTTTACAATTAACAAGCTCTGGATGTTTCTGGATGATGGATTCGTTCAAACTGTCCAATCGCCGACAGTACACATTCTAATTGATTGTTTGGTTCCTTGGTAGGAGCTCGAAAAATCACGATACCTTTAAAATCCCACCACACTGAGAGCATAACCTTCCTCTGATGAATGTCTGCTTTCGATGTCGTTTGAGGTGAATCATCATGTTGGGACCAAGACCGTTTGCACACCACATTGTTGTAAACAATACACTTCTCATCACCAGTTATCAGTCGCTTCAAAACAGGATCGTTTTGGGCCGGCCGAGAGGCGCGTTGGTAAGGAGCTGGCTTGGGACGCCAAAGGGCCCAGGTTCGGATCCCACATATGAGGGCCAGTGACACTGCCCTCTACAGCTAAGATGCTGAACAACAGCTCAACCTGGAGCTGGGCTGCCATGAGTCGCCAGCGATGGCATAGGCTGCAGCCCCTGTGGCAGTGGATTGCCATGGGCTACCATGTGTAGCCAGCAGCCAGCGTGAGCGGCCAGCAGCTGCCGTGAGCGGCCATCCAGAAGCCGGCGACTGATCTGCCTCGCCTGGGAAGAGCACAATGATGGTGCCAACTTGGGCCAGTGAAGCAACGTCCTCCACAACTAGACTGAAGAACAAAAGGACAGCAAGTTGTCTGTTCCCCTTCCAATTCCCCAATAAAAATCTTTAAAGAAAAACACAAAAAAACAGGATTGTTTTCCTCATGTTTAATTGAGATGTTTATATGCGCAAATGGACTTCTGAGTTCATGTGGAACCCAAATATCGAGCTTGCTGACATATCCCAGCCTCTTCAGGTGGTCGTGAATGCTTGAATGATGGATGTTCAATGTTTCTGCAATCTCTCGTGTCATGTAATGTGGGTTTGACTTGATCAATGCCTTTTTTTGTCATCATCAACCTTGGTGGGCCTCCCTGACCGAGGAGCGTCGTTGAGATCAAAATCACTAGCACGGAATTTCGTGAACCATTGCTGGTACTGACGTTCTTGTAGAGCATGGTCACCGTAATCTTTATGCAACTTTTCACAAGCGTTCTTCTCTTTATGGAAGTAAAACAGTAAAATATGGCAAAAATACAGTTTGGTCTTCTGTCTTCAACTTGTACAATCTCCAAAACTCAACAAAATCGCTCAATTTTTTCTTTAGAATGAAGCTAGTACTGTCAGCTGTCAAATGACATAGCAATAACATAGATGCAAATGACTCTAGTACTTCCCAAAGTGAACTAGTGCCATCTGTTGCAAACATGCGTCATGACTTTTCCAACAACCCAATATTTGAGAAATATAAAGGAGGGCACTTCACATTCTGGACTGGCCTAGACACTTCAAAGTCAATGATTGGATGGATGGATGGATGGATGGATGGAGGAACTGTTATAGATCGAGACCAAAGAGACATATAACCAAATAAATATATTGTGAACCTTGATTATTTAGATTAGGTCCTTTAAAACAAAAGTTATAAAAGGCAATAAAAGTTATAAAAGTTATATTCTGAGGGCAATGAGGACATTTGAATATGGACTGGACACTGAATATTATGAAAGTACTAATTCTTGTCAATGCAATATTATGGTTATAAATAATATTCTTGAAAATGTCCTTATTCTTAAAAGATACATATTGAGGTACTTAGCTGATAAGTACAATAGCTGTAACTTATTTTTAAATAATTTCAAAATCATATTTGGCAAAATAATAATTGTAGAACCTAGTTGGCAAGTCACTGAGTGTTCACTGTACTTCTTTCAACTTTTCTGTACGTATGAACATTTTTGTAAAAAATTGAAGGGAAACATGGAAAATGATGTAAAGTCATCAAAATTGAATTTATAATCACAACTACATGGTGTGCTATGGACTGAATGTTTGTGTCCTCCTCCAAATTCATATGTTAAAACCAAATCCCCAGTGTGATATTTGGAGGTTGGACCTTTGGGAAGTGATTAGATCACGAGGGTAGAACCACATGAATAAGGAGACCCCAGAGAGCTCCCTTCTCCCTTCTGTCAAGTAAGGACACAGGGAGATGACGGCATCTAGGAACCAGGAGGTGAGCCCTCACCAAATACCAAATATGCCAGCACCTTCATCTTCTCCCCAGCCTCCAGAACTGTAGTAAATGTTTGTTGTTTAAGGCACCCAGCCTATGGTATTTCTGTTGTAGCAGCAGACACTATGTATAATTTTCTATAGAAAAATACATTAGAAATTAGAACAATTAGAAACTAGTTTTTAAAAACAAATAACATTTCCTAATCTGGTGGGTAGTTTATATATAGCTCAAGACCTGTAGGAAGCTTGATATATCACAAATGGTCCTCTATACATTATATCATTTCCCCACAAAATAACCATAAGATACAGTGATAACTGCTAAGGAAATTATCCCAGGGCCGGCCGAGTAGCTCAGTTGCTTAAGAGCGTGAGCTCTGAGCAACAGGGTCGCAGGTTCGATTCCCATATGGGCCAGTGAGCTGCGCCCAAGCTGAGTTGCAGCTGAGCTGCCAACAGGTGGTAGGATGGCTCAGCTGGTGAGAGCACGTGCTCCTAACAAGGTTGCTGGTTTGACTCCCGCATGGGATGGCAGGCTATGCCCACCCACAACTAAGACTGAACACAGCACCTTGAGCTGAGCGGCCGGGAGCTGCCGTTGGGCAGCGGGATGGAGACTAGACTTAGAGCTGAGCTAGCTGCGCCCTCCACAACTAAGATGGAAAGACAACTTGGCTGTTCCCTTCCCCCAATTCCCCAATAAAATCTTAAAAAAAAATCCCAACTATCCCAGTCTTATCCCCAGAATAATCTTTGTGAAGAATCTATTTTTAGCTATGCTTCTTCCATCATTTAAGATTATGAGGTAGATAAAAAAAAATTTCATTGCATTGCTATTTAGTTATAAACCCAGCAAGTCATGAAAAAAAAAGTCACAATAGTAACATGATCATTTTAAAAACATAATGGCAGGCACCTTGAGCTGAGCTGCCGCCTGGATGACTCAGTGGATAGAATGTGCACTCTTTAACAGCAAGGTTGCCGGTTCAACTTCCACATAAAAATAAAATAAAATAAAAATGTAATGGCAGATAGAAGATAATGCAGTTATGAAAAAGACAGTGATAACTTAGCTCATCTGCAGGCAACAGTGTTTTACAAATAATATGAAGGATGTTAACTCTAAGACTTTTACCAACTGGAGGTCATTTGGCAACATGTATCAAATGTACAAAATATACATTAACTTGACCCACCAATTCCATGTGTAAAATGTATACTCAGAACTCCCAAAACACTTGTCAAATAGCTTAAAATTGGAAACAATGTCAGATAATAGGAAATGGGTATATCCATATAGTATTTATTAAGGTGGAAGTAGCATACTATATATGTCAAGTTTAAAAATCAGGTTATTGAACAATGTATGTCATTCCTCTTAAAAAAATATAAAACACATGTTTACATACCTATTAATATGCCATAAAACATTAAGAATGGTTCTTTCTGGGTGGTGCAATTACAGGAAATTTTTATTTATGTAAGTGTCTTATTCAACAAATATGTATTTTTATATTCTGAAAAAAATATTAAGGAAATCGTGGAAAAAACTTTAACTGAAAAGAAAAATCTTTAAAATATCTAAACCACCATTTAACACTTATCTTTCAAGTGGAATTTATTTTTCCTTATCTAAACTGTATTTTGTAACTTCAATAAACAAGAAATAATGGTATAATAAAATGTTATTAAAAGACTTATACACTAACAGGAAGCAAACAGTGTTTAGTTTTCCACCCCTCACATTTTGAAGAGTAAACTCATTCTTAACCAAGACTCTACATCCAGTGGTTCCTAGTATTTAAATATATTGTAGATAAATTGTAACATGCTAGATTGCACATGTTAACGAAGTAGTGTAATGTAATGGAACGAGGCTGACCTGGGTTGAACTCGTCTAAATTTGCCATTTAACTTTGCCATAACTCCCTAAATTTCAATTCAACTGAAAGGAAAGCACAGGGTCCTAATGGAACCAGCAAACAGAATAAAATCTGGGTATACACCAGAAAATTGCAATTTAATACTTAGCAAAACACACATCCCCTCTACATTTTACCCATTCTCTTTTGACATTCTAAGTTTTTCCTTGGATTAGTCAGAATCTTTTCCTGCCCTATTGGGGAAGAATTGTTCTCCTTTGACTGCAATTTGGCATTAAGCCAGGAAATTCATGGTTTCATATGTCATAAACTTGAGAATGCTGCTCACTGTTTCAGGCAAAGGCCTTTTTGTGAAAAGATATTTTTAAAATAAGAATAGTTACACTTCTCTTAATTGAAGTTCTCTTAGATACAATTATGTAATTAATGGGAGGATTCCTTCTGTGTGTTAGCTGCTAGGGTGTTCAGAGACAAATTTGTGACCTTCTCTCTAGGAAGTAGAGCATGGTATGCACTTTCCTTTTTTTTCTCCTATCATGATTCATCCCATTATTTTTATTTCTGAAAATAGAAATAACTTCACAATCCATTTAAGGGGTTTTGGGAATTAAATATCAAAGTGGTTAGCACAGTGCCTGGGTCATGTAAGGGGTTCAAAAATACTAACGTCACACCACAGGCTCCGGACTTGCAAATAACATGGGTTGATGTACTCGTGGTTGCATAATTGCCTGAAAAAATTCAGTGCATCCCAAATTCCCTTTGAGATAATGGAAATGACCAAAAATAAACAATCAAACAATCAAATATCAAAACTGGAATGAATAATGAAGTTACCTCAAATAGGGCAAAAGAAAGTGGATCATAAGCCTGAAGTTAATTTGGGGCCTCATCTGTCTGAATTGATTCAAACCTAACGTAGCTTAGTAATTTGCTTTTACTTCATCTAGAAGTGTACTATCAAACAAATTCACTTTCTATTTACAAATGACTTAAATGAATAAATTATTTTATATCTTTTCAATATATGAAATAATTTACAACAACTTTAATTTCTAAAATTTCTGAAGTAGTTAATAAGACCTTAAAATGTATCAGTGCTGTTGAAAGACTTCACCGATGAAAATGAGTAGAGCAGAAATTCAATAAAAGACAACCAACCAACAATTAACAGTTTGGGGTATGTAAGTAGTAACAGCAGATTACATAAATAAAAGCTCATCTTCTGTGTGGCTAAAGTACAGAAATTATGCCACTGTAGTTGTTGTGTTGTTGATTATAGCTCATTCTTAATTTGTTTCTAAACTCTTGAAAACCTACCCACATTACACAGGAAAATCTCACAGTTAACCAGTGCAAAAATTTTATTTCTCCTGTTTCCCCTTCTCCCCCACTTTACAAGATCTGAAATTTTACTTAATCCACAGCATTCTTTTTTTTTAATCATCTGTAATCAGACATGTGAAATGTGAGAGGAAAAAAAAAACACTAATCAATTTAAAATCTGAGCCCCTTCCCCATTTTTACAACAAGTTTAGAATAAGTCTACAGCATTCACTTACTTTAGCTGGTTCTGATACTGAGGCATACTTTTTTATTTGAGAATCAATGCCTAAAGACTTGGCTAATTGTACAGCGTTTAAATCATTGCTGATCAGTGTTCCAAGAGCCACAAGAAGTCTAAAAGTGGCTTCCAGGTCTTGCACGACTTCCAAGACTGTGCTAATTACTGACAAGCATTGAGCTTTCCCTTCAATGTTATGGTCTTTATGAAAATAAACCGAATAGTTCAGGGTCAGTGTAGCCAGAGCAATGTGGATATTCTTATTGCTCCCTGATTTCAGTTCTATTGCATGGGACATTAGTGATTCCCTCTGGGACATCATGAGCTTTTGTCCTGCCTGGCCAACAAAACAATTGCAAAAAGTCCTCAGGGCAAGCAGCTGGTTTGCTGGCTTTCCTTTAGGATTCAGAAGACTGATAAGATGACTGCTGAACTGATCCCCTTCCTTCTCACTGCAGAAGTTCTCATTCACACTGGGATGTTTAATGGAGAGCCGAAGAATATCAAGCGCAGGAAAGACAATATCTATGAAAAAGAAAAATGTATTAATGTTTATGAAGATGCAAAAAATTCCTATGGGGGCCGGCCGAGTGGCTCAGTTGGTTAAGAGCTCGCTCAAGAGTTTGAGCTCTGAGCAACAGCGGTTCGATTGCCGGCCCGAGCTGAGCAGCCGCTGAGCTGCCAACAGGTGGCAGGATGGCTCAGCTTAAAAAAAAAAAAAATTCCTATGATTATTACTCAATTTTTAAGGATTTTATTTCCTGTTACAAAATTAACACATGATCATTTAAGAAAATGTTAAAAATCATGTGCCTACTTTAAAATGTGTATATTTCTAAAATTTGTGTTAATTGATTTTTGATATTTATAGAGAATGGACTTACTGTTACAAGATCATATATGCTTTAAAAATAATGTAACTCTTATCAAACAGCCTGATACACAGTGAGTATTCAGTAAGTCCTTGGGGAATGAATGGGATGGGGACTGTGCTTTTAAAAATCCAAAAACAAGATCAAAGAGGAAGAGAGGAAGTTCTTCTAAGTCCAGTTGACAGGTGCTAATAGGATGCTTGCTTATAGGTTGGTGGAGAGCTTTACATTCAAGGGGTTGGGTAGACACCATCAGAATGAATGCACTAAGCAATCTTAGCATCACTAACGTGAGGAAATCACAAATTATGTGCCCTGTGATATAAAGGCAGTATGTAGCATCATTTATAAAGAATATTCACCTTAAAAAAACAATTGAACCAGAATCTAGTTATGTCTAGCAGGAACTATAGAGATAGAGGACCACATTAAGTGATCAGCCAAATCAACAATATGGGACAAATAATATTTTTCTCCAATAAATCAATAGTGCAAAAAAATAATAAGGGAGAGGATACTTTTAGAATTAAAAATTAAATGTGTGGTAACGAATGGAAACTAGACTTTTGGGGGTGAACACGCTATAGTGTATACAGACATCAAATTATAATATTATAAATCAATGTTACCTCAATAAAAAATAAATATTTAAAAATTTAAAAAATAAAAAGTGAATTTACTAAAAACAAAAATCCTTATAGCAAATATTTATAGCCTAGGTTGAACAGGTCACAAAGAGTTTCTTGGCTGGCTTGCATGGGATGCTCTGAAATAGTATACAACATGGTACATGTATGGAGCTCATTACATTACCTTCAGATCCTCATAAGGCATGGAACCAAAACAAGACTACGAATTACAGCAGTGTAGTGAATCCTTCTTGTGAAGGTTTTCACATTATGAATTACAACTACTCAGATTAACTTTTACTTAATTTAGAAACACCAGTAATATTGATAGAAATGAAAATACACACTTCCTGCTTTCTAGTTACATTTTAAAGTCTTTCTGTACCTTCAGGCCAGTTAATAGCTTTCCACAAAATCTGAAGTTGATGGGCTGTGGGTTTTTCTGAAGAACTATTACATATTAGAGACAGTATCTTTTCAAGAAGTATCAGGTCATCCTCAGTTAACTTCTTCTCTTCAGGTGCAGTTCCATTAAGTTCTTTCAGTTTACCTAGAAACCAAAACCAACCCTTCAAAATTCTCTAACTGTAATCAGCCAGGTAAAATACATAAATGCCACATTTTTCAATAGGAGTACTCTATCATACACTACGGGGAGTTAAGACTAATAATGGCAATTATCAAAGACCATAAAATAAGGCCTATGAATGTTTTTAAGCCAGACACAGTATAGAAAAAGGTTACTGTGATTTTTATTTTACCTGTTATTTTAAAAGATCTTCTGAAGTGTTCTGCTTTGAATACATTTTAAAGTATATCTGTAATCATTTTGAATGGTTTTCAAAGCAATATCATGTTATAGCCACTCACATATAAGTCAATCGTCTATTTTCTCAATGAAAAAATTTATAACAACTTTTAGCCAATTAATATCAACTTCTATGATTGTCAATGAAATAATAGAAAACTTAAATGTCTACTTATATTAAATTTATTGACTTAGTTCCATATGCACCTTTGATATCACATTATTTTAAACACATTTAATGGAAATATTGTCTTTTCCCACCATAAACACATTGCATGAAAAAATTAGTTTCAAACTCGTCACACATCTTCTGTATCAATATCCTTGTTATCACTCATGCTACTTTGAGTCATCCAATACTGATGCCTAAAAAATCTTTATCTCAAAGAATAAAAATGCCCAAATTCTCATCACAAAAGGTTTAAGAAGATAAATTGTCCAAATTTACAAATTTTATCAATCATAATTGGAAACTTGGACCTGTTTTACTATTCTTTGGTATTGAAAGTTTTAACAGAACATTGAAAAACAAAGTCTATTTACGAAATGCAAAAAGAGACCTCTTGTGCTCGCTACGGCAGCACTTATACTAAAATTGGAACGATATAGAGATTAGCATGGCCCCTGCGCAAGGATGACACGAAAATTCGTGAAGCGGTCCATATTTTTTTAATTAAAAAAAAAAAGAGACCTCTTATATTTATACAAGAGTTGAAAAATGTCAAGTTTTCTGTAAGTACACATATACTTCTTTATTGTTCAAAATAAAGCAATCAGGAAAACACATGAATGATTTTTATAAAGATAGTATAAAGGATAATTCTGACCAAAAGAAAAAACCTTATCTTATATTCAGGTATGTATGGTATCTCAAATCATCCCTCATAGTCTTTGTGGCAAAACAGAGCTAGTAGTATTCTTAGTCCAAAAAACAAACAAAAAACCCCATCCTGTCATTTTGGGAAAAACAAATTAACAGAAAAAGCAATCCAAGTCAACTGAGAAGTTTCATTTTTAATGGGAAATTTAATTAGCCTTTTATTATTTCTAAGGGCTATTAATTTTTTAAAGACAAGATTTTTATTTTTTAAATGCTTTACGTACTCATTCTTTTATTTATTTTGAAAACATTAGGAGCTTAGGGAACGGGGTTTACATTTTCACCCTTTGGTTTTCTTCTCATTAAAGTCATCAGAGCAGAAAGCAGTTACTGATATTTGCATAAGACTTCTTACAAAGTATTAAGGGCCCATTATCATATTGTGCAGTTGTGGTCCACACAGTTGTGTAATACCACAATAGAAGTCTCTATCATGGAAGCACCCAGTTCCCAGCTCATGTTAGGAGAAGAAATGGTCTTGAGTGCATGGCAAAGAGGCTGTGGATATGTGAGAAAACTAATTCAAATACACTTACCTAATATTTGTGTAGGGTTTGCTTGGTCAAAAGTGACAGCCTCTTTTTTAGGGAAATAAATATTCACTGTCTTAGGTGCAGCTGATCGGTAGGCACTGTTCCCTATTTACAGAATAGAACAGGATAAAAAACATAAGGAATGGTCAAAAATGAGATTTTTTTCCTAATAGTATTACTTTGTTTTCACAATTAAGATATTTAACTACTCAGTTTATGCAATAAAATCATAAGCAACCTCAGACAACAGAAAAAGAAAAATTATTTGTAAGTTTTTATACAGTTTATATTTGATGCAATAATAAATTTTCATTTTGGAATGGGAGTTTAAATGTAAAACAGACTTTCTATTTCCTATTTTCTACTTCCCTCACATTTTTAAGATTCATTCTAAATTATAAATTTTTAAAAGATCAAGAATACAAAACAAATATGATATTTTCCATTCTCATCTCCTCTGAGGCATATTCATCTCTTTCTTCTCATCTTTTATTGCTTATTCCAAATGATATAGTAGGCACTGTCATTTTCTATAATCATTTTCTATAATCATTTTCTACATCATTTTTATAAATCTCCCCCAAGCTGTAAGTTCTTGAAAGGCAAAGGTTTTAGCCTTTATACGTTTTTACTTCTTAAGTCCCTATTATAGTAACTGAAACTCAGTATTAGATGATAAAAAACTGGCACAGGATGAAAATTCATGCACAGTGAATAAAGCTACTTCAACTAAAATATAATTTATATCTAATTAACATCTTACACTGCAAATCTTAATTAATTTATACATTTTTGTTCCACTCTGAAATTAAGGTACTTTGCAAAAAGATGAATAAAACATTTTAATATTCTGAGTATATTAGAAATACGAGGGAGGAAGGTAAATAAAGATAAAGCAAGTAATGAGATAAGTGCACAAAATTAATTCTAATTGCTTATAAAGCATAAAATATTCATTGACATGATCAAAGATGAGCTATGCAGACACTGCCTGCATTTCTAGTTGTGGTAAGGAGAATACAAATCAAATATGGCCCAAACATTTAAGTACGATAGAAAGTTCTCTGAAGGAAAAATATAGGGTACAATGTGAGCTTATGATAGAGGAGGTGATCTAGCAAGAGGCATATGTGAGTGAAGGTTTCACTGAGTTTATTTAATAAATACTATATTTCAAAATTAAATTAAAAAGAAGAAAAAAACAACAACAATAAGTTGTGGTGTCAATGACAAAGCAAAGGGCCCTAGTATGATATTCCAAAAGAGAACAGCACGTACAAAACTCCTGAAGTAGAAAATAGCCTGGCATGCTCAAGAACCTGGCCTGGGTCAGTGCGGCTGGGCAGAAAAAAAGTAGAGGAATGTGATGCAATGCAAGAAGATACATTCAGTGGGAAGTCATGAAAGGGTTTTAATCAAGGGAGGGGCATAAGCAAGTTAGACTATAAGAAGCCCGCTAGCTGCAGTGTGGACCATGGAGAGACTATTTGGAGACTATTATTTCTTTAGTGTAGGTGAGAGATGACAATAGTCCAGTATATACACTAAACTGTTAAAGACTTCTGGAAATTGGGGAGAAGCACTGTTAACTTCAGACTCTTTTGTAAATACAACAGGCATAGCTAACAATTACTAAACACTCTATGAAAAATAATTTACACACATTTTGTAATTTAAAGTTCTTAGAAGCTCTAGGAGATAGATATTATCTCGACTTTACAAATGGGAAAAACACACAGAAACAGAATGACTTTCTCAAGGTCAAACAGATAAAGAGTAATGGAACTGAGACTTGAATCTAAGCATTCCTCACTCTGGAGTCCTTAATCTTAATTACTATGTTCAATACTGCCAGCCAATGTTACTTTCACAATGAAAAAATAGCTTACAAAAATCACATATCAAGGTAGTTCTTAAGTAGAATGGTGAGTTTATGGGTATGCATTTTATTATACTCAATAACGTATGTCACACATATTCTTTCGTATAATATATTAAGTAGGGGAAAATGTGTGCCAAGAGATCTATTAAACTTGAAAGAGTTGAACCACAAACTCAGTTCTGCTTCAGACTGGCAGCCAATACAGAGGAAAACATGCTTGCACATATTCAAGAATGATGAACAAGTAAGATATGTCAGACTCTAAGCTAGATACTAGGGATAAAAACAAAATTAGTGGCTCAGGAGACGGCCAAATATTCCAGGCCTAATTTAAAAAGCAAATTATTTTCAGAGTCTCCTTAAAGAGAAAAATGTGTAATTTAGTAACTAACGTTTTCAATACATTAAGAACAAACAAAGGAGAGACTGGAATAAACTCAGATTTTGTCAGGGTACTGAGGAAAACGGCAGCAGAGAATTGTTGAACAGCAGTTTTCAATCCTGGCTGCACACTGGAATCGCACTGGAAGATTATAAAACTACCCTTGCCAAGGCCCCAATTCAGAGCGATATTAGACCAAGTGAGCATCTCTTGGGATGAGTCTGAAGTGCTTTTTAAAAGCTCCCCGTGTGACTCTAATGTACAGTGAGGACAACTCCGAGAACACTCTAAAAGTCAGGTCAAGAATTTTGATCTTTGTTTACCGTATAAAAAGTTCTCCAGCAAGAAAAAGACACCTATTTTCTTTTTAAGCTGAGCCATCCTGCCATCTGTTGGCAGCTCAGCGGCTGCTCAGCTCGGGCCGGCAATCTAACCGCTGTTGCTCAGAGCTCAAACTCTTGAGCAAGCTCTTAACCAACTGAACGACTCGGCCGGCCCTAAGACACCTATTTTCTTAATCTTTCATTAAACAGAAGTTTCAATGAACTTTAAAAATCTTACAAAAAACACCCAAAAAAAACAACCAAAGAAATGAAAAGCATATACCTGTAAATGGGTCTACTCCAGCTATGGTAGTTCCCATACTCGCAGACCCTGGCACATAACGACCACCACCTAAAATGCAATAATACTCCAAGTAAGCAAAGGTAAGTACAAATTATAAAGCTTAAACAGCCACTTCTCTAACAGAATAACTTATATTCATTATTAATCATACTTTGGAATGGCACCTTTATATGTAATAAATAGACTGTAAATTTAATACAGAAAAATGCTAAGAATAGGGCCTGCATGTAGTTAGTGCCCAATAAATGTTAGCCAGAACAGTAATTCTCAAGTTATAAATGAACATTAGATGCTTTATATATTACAATTATAGAGGTTTAATGATTACAAAAGTATTAGTGGATTGAAGAAAGAAATTAAAACATTTCCATAATGAAATGTGAACACTATTCTATTAAAATAGAGAAATAGGATTAATCTGGCACATAAAACAAACAGAAGAGACTAGGTAATAGTTACATATGCTATGACAATAGCCCAGTCTCACATGTGAGACTTGTGGCTGTCTCACTGAAAGTAGGGGAAAAAAAAAAAAAAGAGGGAACATGAAAACATATGTACAGAAAGAATCAAAAGAATTTGGAAAAGTTCAAAGTCCTAGATCAGACTTTATGGGAAGATGAGCTATTGTTCTAGCCCCTCCAAGTATATTATCGAGGAGTTGATATAACCCATGTAACAGATATAGAAAAAAAAACCAAAATGAAAAAAAAAAAACAAAACCCCACAGATGTAAACAGGATTGATTAAAATAATGAAGAACACAGAATAAGGGCGTTTACTGAGTTTTTACTATATGCCAACCAGCATGCTAAGCATATTATATGCATAAACTCCTTTAAGTATTAATTAGATACCATTATTATTTGTAATACTTTATTATAGGAAAGCTGAATAACTTGCCTAAGGTATTATGGGCAGAGTGTAGTCCTACACTTCTATAAACGTGGTTCTCTGACATTTAGAGTCACCTGTTCAGTATGTAGGTTCCTAGGATCTACCCATAATAACGTGGTGGGCTTCCAAAGTGGCTTCACTTTCCAGCTACCCAATGGCAAACCACACCCAAGATCACTGAATCAGAATCTACGGGTGAGATATCAGGGCATGAGTATTTTTAACCTTACCAACCTAGTGGGTCAGAATCTCTGGGGAGGACCTTGTGACAAGTAATTTAAACAAGCATCCCAGATGATTCTAATTAACATTAGAAGTTTGAGAACCACATAAAAATGGAAAAGAAAAAAGAGTTAAGATGGACCTTAAATTGTAAGCCAGATGGGCAAACCTTTTGGCCCCAGAGCTACTGGTAAAGTTGGGGAACAACAGCAACAATAGTAATAGCTAACACATACTGAGGGCTTAGATATATTCTAGGCATTTTGCTGAACACTTTACACATACATGATTTAATTTTCATAATATTTCAATGTGGTAGGTGCTGTTATCTATTTTTTTATAACAGTGAAGTTCAATTACCCTAGTAATTCCGTAATTCCCCTGGACATTCAGTGAGCTAATTTGCGTATCTCTGCAAGCATTACATTTTCTGAGTTACTGACATTGGGCCACAGTGAGACATGCTCCAGTTATGATGGAGTTCTCTGGATTTTGTTGGTGTTGTTTGAAGGTTGGTATGTTCTTTCTGTTCCAAAAAAGATCTGCCAGTGAGATTCGGGAACTCGGATGTTTTAAGTTTCAAGGCATTACAATGCTTGAATATGCTGATAGAAAAAACCATTCTCTTATCTACTCTTCAGACCATACTACCTTTTCAAATTGCATTATGTCACCAAAGACTTCCTAACACCAATTGTGCCATAACAACATGTAGCTTGATAGTTGGTGATTGTAGTACACTAGTTATCAATGCACAGGGTGCAGGTATTTGCATGTATTCCTTCAGAGGAGAAAGGAAGCTCACTGAGAACAATTCACTACTTCACGACACGGCCCCACAGGTATGTGTTGGTCCAATCTATGATTTAGACAGGGCTGTATGTTGGCAAGACCAATGGATACCAGAAAAGCTATGAATCGCTTCCCAAATTTGATATATTGTCCAGGAGCTCTGGCTGAAGATCCAACAACAGCATCATAAAATACATCAAAACTATTCTGAAAACAGAGACTTCTTCAGCTGCATTACAGTCCCTGTCTGGCCATTTTTTTCCAGTAGTGTTGATGCTGAGGTCTGCATACCTTGGTAAATAAAGTCACTTTGAAGAGACACACCAACACTCTCAGGGCATCATGGAGGCAATTAATAACTTAGATTAGGAAGACTAATCCTGTGTGGCTGCTGGACTGTCTCCTTCCACACTAAGGCAAATGTCCCTGGGCACACACATCATGACTGCACTGTTCCATCCAGTATCAGGGACTCACATGGCTCCTTTGCTCATGATCGGTAGCATCTCGCCAGTGACGGCACTCATGCTGTGTCTTGGTTGGTGGGATCCCCTATTATCTAATTTCACAGATAAAAAAAATAGGCTCAGACAGGTTAAGTAACTTGCCAGCTGCTCACAGCAAGTAAGTGGTACAGCCAAATTCTGAACCAAGGCCTGTCTGGCTCTAAAACCTATGCTCTTAATGACTCTCCTTGCAGGAAGGACTACGGGAGAAATCAGTGAGCTATAATAATATGCTATTTAAAAGTCATGAGGGAAGTCACAAAAGTACTCCAGGAAAAAGCAAAAATTAGACGTTCAAGAAAAGGAGATCAAAAAAATAATAACAATAATAATAATAAAGAAAGAAAAGAAAAGGTGATCCATTAAAATTGGGACATATAGATAAGGGAATTATCAGTCATTGGATGATATCTCCAAAATGTAAAGCCATATAATGTAAAATGCTATATATACATTTAGTGACGACACATTAATCAGAGCTGCACCTCACCTGTAAAAGGATCTGCTGCAGGCAGTGCGTTAGAAGACCCCAACGAAGAGCCTGGAACATATCGACCACCACCTGTGCAGGCAAACAAAGGAGAAGCTGAAGTATACCAAAAACCTGGATTTCATAAACAGCATAATGCTTATATGAGATTAAGCTTGAAGAAAAACAGGAGAGCAAGGCTGTCACATGAGAGAATAATAGAAATTATAGTCAAAAGTCTTATACTACTAGTTGGAAAGACTAGTAAGAAACTAAAATTTCAGTGATTCTCCAAGTTTTGTTAACTTTAAGACTTTATTATACCTTAGCCTTTGCATTTAAATATTAAAATAACTAGGAATTCAAATATAAAGAGAAACTGCAGGTGGTCTCTGACCTAAATAATACGTATATACAATCAGTTCCTGCTCCTATACAAATTCACTAGAATTCCTGCTGTTGTGGATACTATCAAAACCACAGGCATCAAATGTTAATCTTTTAGAGAACCCCTGAGTTCATTAATTCATGTGACAAACAGTGCATTCAGTGCTGGGGATCCAGCAGAGAACATGATGACTTATATCCACTGAAGCTTATAACCTACTGGAGAAGAGAACTACAAACAAAGGGGATGAGTGCTACAAAGGAAACAGATTTCGCACCTCTAAGGAAATAATCAGAGGCATCTACAAAAAGATATATGTAACGATTCTTCTAAAGTTAAAATTTCAGAAATGCCCAATAGTTGTTAGATTTCCAGATGGAGCCAGTCCCACAAAATAGCTTACACAATACTGCGATCATGTGTTCACTCTTTTGCACTGTAGAATGAAATTCCACCAACAGAAATATCCTAGTAACAAAAATATTTTTATCCCCGTTTTGGTCAAGTGCAACTATTGAGAAGGTTACATCATTTATAATTCAGTATTGAGTCAGTCTGATAATTCTGTTTAAGTCAACATGCAGATGAGATAAGCTTTATTACGGTAATTGGCAATGAAATTTTGAACTAGAAAGAAGACATAATTTGGGAGCATGAAGTATCTGTCAGGGAAGAAGGAAAAAAAGACCTATTTAAGGACTTAAGACAGGAAGAGGGTATGGGATCCTTGTAAAACAAGAGAGCACTGGCATGCGAAAAATGGAGTCAAACTAATGACAGGAAAACATTAATAATACAGTACCAATTTCAAAATTTTATTTAGAGCTTGCTCTCCACCTAAGAAGAGAGGAAGGATTTTATTTCCCCTGTACCATGGCTTCAGTTCCCAGGACCTGGGACTCAGGCCAATACTACTATAGGATTATAATTTATGGGCTGGCATGAAAACATAATCTCATTTTACAACGTTTCGGACACTGTATTCTATGTTCAAACAACTGACGTAAAATGAGGACTCGGAATACAAATCACCCACAGTTCAGTCCTAGATTTGATGCACAACTAACCAATTTAGC